GAATTGGAAAATGTTGTTATATATATATACACACACACACATATATATATATATATTATTTTTTTTTACAAAAAACAAAGTATTAAAAACATTGGGTGGACCGAGACTCATGGCACCCTGGGTCACAGAGCAGAAGTAGCCTAGGGTTGTTCCTCTTCATGGAAGCAGATTGCCAGGCCTTTCCTCTGAGGTGCAACTGGGGCATATGAACCACCCATTTTTAGTAGCTGAACACAGACTGTTTGTGATACCCAGGGACCTTCTAAAGAAGAAAAGACCCCCATAATTCCTATCTCTCAAAGCTACCACAACAGAAGTCTTGTTTTTATTGTAATTATTCAGAAAACCCCTATTTATCACAAAAGTATCAAGAAAAAAGGTAGGTGGGAAAAGCAAGTAAGGGGTTATGTGTGGCTCGTACTCGATTTCCAAATTCCAAATTAAGTGGTATATTGACCAGTCTCACATACTTCAAAATCCAAAACCAAATCCACTGCTGTAGACTCAATTCCAACTCATCATGACTCTATAGGAACCAAGCGGATCCCAGCTCAGAGTGACACCATGAGGTTGCCGAGATTGCAAATCTTTACAGAGGGGAGCATAGTGGCTCCATATATAAACACTAGACTGGAAACCACAAGGTCTGTGGTTCGAGCCTACCAGCCGTGGGAGGTAGATGAGACTTTCTGTTCCTGTGAAGATTTAAAGTCTCAGAAACCCTATACAGAGTCACTATGAGTCAAAACAGATTCCATGACACTTAACAAAACAACAGTAACAACAAATCTTCAGGGAGCAGAGACTCACCTTTCTCCATTTGAGTGGCCAGTGGGTTTGAACCACTGGTTCTTCAGTTTGCAGTCAAGTGCGTAACTCTCTTTGCCTCTGGGGCTCCTCACACTCCCTGTATAACTGAAGAACACTGTCCCCTTCCACCATGGGGACTACCCATTTAGTAAACCAAACGAAACCAATGGCATTGCTTTTCTCTGGAGGAAGCTGTAAATTCACTTATTCAATCAATAGTCACAACCCACTTGGCACCAACTGAACCCTAGGGTGAAACCTAAAAAAAGTCTCCACTTTAGCACTTTTCATCAGTGCCAAAATGTAGACACCACCCAAATGTCCATCCAAAGATGAGAGATGAACAGAGCATGATGCGTTCCTACGATGGAACACGGAGCCCAGCTACACAGAGGGACAAAGTGGGACACATGAGGTCAACACAGTTAGCCAGATACACAGGACAGGAAAAATCCAGAGACAGAGACCAAACATGACAACTGGCCCCCAGGGTGCAAAGAGGAGCAGTGGGACAACTCGAAAAAGGTGGGTGAGAATGGTCACCCAGCTCAGAGAATGGAACCATGTCATGGCAGTGGGTGAATTGGAGCATGCTTTGTTGTGTGGATTGCCACCACAATAAAAAAAAACCAACACAGTCTCCCCGGCCCTCAGGGAACTTAAGGTCCAGAAAAAATGAGCTTGTGTGTTGGACAGAGTGGTAAGGATGCAGTGACACAGAAGGAATACTGGAATCGACGTCCACGGCCTTCTGTGTGGAAACAGTAGGAGATCCAGAACAACCACAACTGATTTTCCGCACCAGTGATTAAGAGCACCAAAGTTCCTGAAAGACTCATTCCTGGTAACAACTGAGGATAAGACCTGCCTCCCTCCAACCATGTTTTCCTGAATGACAATGTGGCTTTCCAGGAGACGTGGCTTGTGCAGATGCCACTCCACATGAATGCCCCATCTTGGTAGGGGTGAGGATGGGAGCCAGTATAGGAAAGGGTGTGTAAAGGATGTTCCAAGTCTCAGGTGACTGCAGCCAGTTACATACAAGCAAGTTCCAGTCTGCAAAATTCTGATATAATAAGAGAATTTGAGGTTTATGGTAGAGAAATCCATAAATCCAGGTACCAAAGAGTGAAAGCAAATGTTGTTAGGTACTGGCCAGATGGTTCTGCCTCACAGCAACCCTGTGGGATTGAATATGACAGAACAAAACACTGCCCGGTCCTGCACCATCCTGGTAATCGTTGCTGATAAACTCACAGAAGAATGGTAGAAAGCAAACAGATACAAGAATTACTACCATAATCTTAAAGTCAGATCCCATTTGGAAGATGGGAGTTGGACAGTAAAACACATTTAACCTTGCTGTGAATTCTTGAAAATGTCTGGGGACCCTTTGATGTGAGAGGATGAGGCACTGAACTCTAAAATGCACCATATTCTAGAGACAGGGCTACTCAGGCTGAACAGAATCTAAAATGGAGAGAAGCAGAAAAAACTGCTCAAATGGCTCAGCATCAGACTGAACCTTTAACGTTCCCAAAAGCAAACGGCTATCCCCTTGAGTAGCCACTCACCTACTCACTGCTGCAGCTCTGTCCCTGCTTACAGGGGGCTGAAGTCCAATGAACACAGAGAGGCACCATGGGCACCGATGTGTCCGCACATCAAAAACACCAAATCAGCAGGTGGGCCAACGTTCAGCCTGCCAGCTAAGGGCTCAATGCTTTGGGATGTGCCCAGAAGAATGCCAGGTTCCGGGGACATCAATAATGGTTTATACACAGTGAACCGATTTATGCAGTGGATGAGCTAAAAGGACCCTGCAGGTTGAGTTTTTCTTCTCCCCAAGTTAGATTAAATACTAGTGAGAGTTCCGTTTAAGATATTATGTGGCAGTAGGTGGTGTAGGACAAGCACTGGACAACTAACACCAGCTGTACCTCGGAAACGCTATCCAAGGTCGTTATGAATCGGAACTGACTCGATGGCACTTAACAGCAAAAAAAAAAAAAAAACTAGAGGGGCAGCAAAAAAGAGGCAGACCCTCCACAATACAGACTGACACAGTGGTTACAGCAATGGCTCAAACACAGGACAGGGCAGTGTCTCCTTCTGTTAAACTTAAAGTCGATGTGAGTCAACATCGACTTGACAGCACCTCACAACAACAACACTAAACCCTGAGGAGCACTGGTGGTTCAATGTTTAAGCGCTCAGTTACTAACTAAAAGGTTGGAGGTTTGAAGACACCAACTGCTCAAGAGGTTGGCAGTTCAAACCCACCCAATGGCTACGCAGAAGAAAGGTCTGCTCCCATTAATGTGACGGCCAAGAAAATCTACTCTGTCACACGTGGGGTCGCCGTGAGCTGGAATCGATCCAGTCAGAAGGCAGGCACTCGTTAGGAGATGGGAAACTCTGTGATCCAGACTGCGATCGTACTTGAATTATACACAGAAGTGCGTTCCCAGCTGGAGAACTGCAAGTACTAGGCCACAATGGAGAACATGGGGGTTTCTTTAACCACCACTGGACCCAACTGCTTCACTCTGGAAGGCAGCCTGATTTCACCCTCAAAGGATGGAGGTAACCATTCCCTTGCAAACCCCCAGCGAGCATGGATGGAGCCTGAAACATTCCACAGAAGACTTATAACCCAACATGCCAGGAGCCTAGAAAGGGGAGGCATTGGCAAACAGGCTGTGGGCCCTGGGAATTACGCAGACAGAAATACCCTGTACTCCGGGTGCTTATAAAACGGAGATTAATTAGGTAACTCCTGAACATGAAACACACTAAAGAAACATAAACACCAGTGAGGAGTTTGAAGCAATTACTGAACACAGAGAAAAAAAGAAAGTGTCTAAAGAGGAGAGGAAATGAGTAATTAAAAAGACTTTCTCCTCATCAACAGATTCTGAGGATGCTGGGTATCTCCAGGGCGCAGAAAGCAAGAAAACCCGGTTCTCTTCGAAAGTTATACAAAAGGGGCTAGAGAAGACAGCAGGGCTGATACCCTTCCCTTCCTGTCCAAGGGGAAATGGTAACTGAACCCCCAGGGGCCTCCTAAGTACCCAGCGGGCTGCGCCATCCAACCCAAGAACCTGGTAAATATGAGAAGAGTCGTTCTTCCCCTCCTTCCATCCCTGTCCAGTCACACCTGGCCCCTACTTCTGGGAGGTGGGGGGGTGGGGCTCAGGCCTTCAGAAGGATCTCACACCTCCCAGAGGGGCACCCCTTCCATGGCCTGGCCCTGATACAACACCTTCTCAAGAGCCTGGCCACGACCCCAGGGTAGGAAAGGGTCAAAAGTGGTGATCCTGGCTGACATGGGGCAGGGCAGGGGTGATCCCTGGGGATCTAGGCTGGGAGGAGGTGACAAAGCCCACTCCCAGACCCAGATCAAGCACGGTCACAGGTCCAACCACGGGGGGTGGGGGGTGGGGTGGGGGGGGTGGCCTGAGACAGCAGTGGTGGAGTCAGGAGAGACGGTGGTTGAGGATGACTCTGAGAGTTTGGACAGGGCAGGGGTGTGATCCCAAATCAATGCCAGACCAGGGCTGACCCTGGGGTTTCAGGCTCGGTGAGAGTGAACCCTGGGGATTCAGGTTGGTTGGGACTAGGGATATGGGCGGGGCAGGGATGACCCTGACGTCCCAACTGGGTAGGGGTGAACCCCAGAGGTTTAGGCGAGGTGGAGACGACACCGGAAGTCCAGGGAGTTCCGTGGTGAACCTCAGGGTCTGAGCGGTGCGGAGGAGGACCCAGGCAATCCTGGAGTCCCGGCGGGACAGAGGTGAACCCCGAGGGTACAGACAGTCGGGGAGGGGTAGCCAGGAGGTCCGAGGAGTGTTCCAGGGGGTGACCAGGAGGCAAGGGACGATCCCGGGGGGTCTGGACGGTATGGGATGGGGGTGACACAGGGGCCTGGGCTAGGCAGAGATGACCTATGATGTCCAGGTGGTCGGGGACGGAGGTTAAATCCGGGAGGTTAGGGTGGTTGGGGGTGTGACCCACGGTCCAGGTTGGATGGGGGTGACTCCGGGGTGTCCGAGCGGTCGGGGGGGAGGGGCAAGCTCCGGGATGTCCGGCGGTCGGACAGCGGTGGTGACCCGGGGGTCCAGCGGTCGGGGGTTGGTGACCCGGAGTCAGGGCGTGACTTGGGCTCAGGGTCCCCGGGCGGCACTCACTGCGGGGGCAGCTGAAGGGCGGGCGCACCGCGCCGCTGGAAGGCGCCGTCCACGAAGACACCGTTTTTACCGAGGCAGCGGAGGAAGAAGTGCGGCTCCTGGAAGCTGAGCTGCAGGTGGCGCCTCGAGATGAAGCTCGACAAGCCCATGCTCAGGTCCACCGAACCCTGCGACGAGTTGCGGCCGATGGTGACACTGGGCTGCCGCATGAGGAACTCGAACTCGCGGCCCTCAAGGCGCGCCAGGGCCGGCCCAGGGCTCC